GGGCAAGAGCGGTCAGGGCCAGAGCCACCTCCTGCTGCTTTGCAGGCTGGGATGGTGGCTGATCGGACTCAGTACATTTAGCCTTCCTTTTTGCTTCGTTACTGTGAATGAGTTTATTGGTTGAATACATGCAAGTTTAAGCAACTTTACAGAACTCAGAGCAGACAAATTTTCATCTGTAGGGCTGGCTATTTTTACTGGCAGTGCAGGTCTACATGCTATGTTCACCCCATCAGGGAAAAAAGCAATATTTTGTCACCTACAAGTTAATAGAACCAGCCAATGAAGGAATCAATTTATAATAATGATTAATAACAAAGCACTGTGGGCAATGGAGCTACAGACCAAAACTAATTTGTGGAAATTACTCAGCAAGTGATTATGACTAATGTGATTTGCCTTTGGGCAATTCATGAACCAAAAGTTAAACGTGTGGAATGAAACATTCATTATCCATTATCCCCTCAGTATAGGCAATGGCATTTGTACTGTAGCAGAACCTATACACTTCAAGCAGGTTTCAGGGGTTTATTACACTAAGCATTATATGGACTTCTTTTTTCTTTAAAAAAAGGGGCAAATATCCCTCCTAAGGAGCTCCAGATGCTAAATTTAAAAAGTCTGAAGGGACTACACCTTCTGTAAAAGTGTATGAGTTAACCTTACAGCTCAGGTACTGGTAGAAGAGCAGTCCTGTTTGAGATCAAAAGGCTTCCATGTGGACTAAAGCCCCTGAGTAGTCATCCAACTTCTGTGAGTTTTGTCACTTACGCTATGGCTAGACTGCCACTGCTGCCCAAGTAAATTACCGGGGGCATATTCTAAGACACTTCAAATGCATCAAGACATATAGCCAATTCCAAGATTATCCTTCAAGGATGTCTCAGTGTAGGTTTCTGTAAATGCACATTCAAGAAAGGACTCCTTTTGTGTCTGATCCTCTTCCCAAAAGGGATGGACCTTGCAACGCGGTGACTTCTACGGCATTAGCTTCAGCGTGGCAGAAGGCAAAGCTCTCCCCACTTCTTTCCCCACTGCCCTGCTGTTTCTTTCTGAAAGAAAGCAGCTAGAGCAGGCTTTAAATGACAAAATCTACTCAGGAAAAATCAGTGGTAAGGACAGTCATTAAGAAACAGGCAGATTAAACAAAATGAGCAAAAAGATACATTGCCACTCTTTCTAGTGCCCGATTGTTTTCTTCCTGATTGTCCAAATCAGTGGGCGATAAGAAGGGGTGTCTTTGCATTTGCTTTATTCTCTGCCTGACACCAAAATACACTGCTTTGTAATAGGACCATCAGGATAATTTTCTCAAACTTCTTTGTGATAAAGCCCTTCAGAAGTATACACTCATTTGAACTGGACAGACATGAGTTTTCCTTTTAATTCTTTGGATTATGAAAGACAGGCCAGAAGCACAGGCTAAGTGACTCTGCCTTACAAGTGTAGATGTTAAAGGCAGAAGGAAGTGGCTGCAATAAACACAGAACGCCACGAGTCTATAGTAAAGCTCCCTCCACCAGACACAGTGAGGAGGGAATTTATTCAAAACATTTAAGTTGTGCATGGATCACACTGGGGTCAAACCGGGCTCCCCGAACTTGACTTTTGCATTGCAATTTCTGTGTTTCTTTGGGTTGACTAATGGGGACTAATCCTGACATCACTAGAGAGCATAACTTTTGGTACCTTTGAAATACACCTCATCTCTAATAGACCAACTTGCCAGGGTAGAGAAACATATGTCTGAATTTAAACCCAAGTGCAGGTATCCTTCTCACTTCGAGAATGAAAGTGATGTCACTTTTATTTTCACTGGCTTTTCTTGTTCTTCTAATACTGACAGTGGTAGAGAATATTATCAGGCCATTCGGACTGAGGTCTTCAAATGGCTTTAAATAAAACATTAGCGTTCTTCAATAGACCAAGTACTTGAAGTTAATCCCAAAATACTTTCTCTGAAAAAAAAAGTGAAATTGGTGCTATTCGATGGTCATTTAGGTACAAAACTGTTGCGTCTTGAAAGGATCCTGGTTCCAGCTTTATTTTTCCCTTGAGGAACATGTGAGTGATATGACAGGTTGGTATTAATTTACTGTTCAAACCACAATGGATTCAAAGGAGATGTGTCAGAAAACCAGTTTTGGTTTTCTGACTCTAAAATGTAAAAAACCAAAGCGCAGTACTTGTAATTACAGCAATTTGTATATCTCTGTTGACCCCCCTGTTCATATCATACTGTATTATGACAGCAACAGGACTATAGCTGGGCTTTGTTTGTAGCTTCTTTTGCACTATTGGGTTTTTTCTGGTGCACTGACTTCTATTTTCTCCTGAGCACATTATCAGCGTTGTGCTTAAAGACTCATGTTTAAAAAATCGAACGTAAGTCCACTGTTGGTTGAGTTTCCAACTCTGGAAATCCAGGAGTGGGGGAAGGACAGGGGAGACTGACATGGAGACTTAAAAAACTGCACAACTCTACATGGTTCTTCAGAGAGGCTGATGACATGCGGCCACTACTGACTTTTGCTGGTATTGTGAGTACTTGGCACTTCTAAGAAGTGTCATTGTTGATCCACTCCTTCATGAGGGAATAACTAGATTTTTTTTTTTTTAAAAACATAATGATAATTTAATGTTAAACATATCCATTACTTGTTAGCCTCCCAGGTGTCTCTTTCTGTCTGACCCCATGTAGATGGGCAGTGAAGCAGCTGCAGATGGAAGAGCCCTAAGATCTGAAATGCAGCCAAACCCAGCCTGTTTTCACGAAACTGGGTGTCAATAGTCTCTCTCTTTTTTGAATCTTCCCTTCAACCTCCTCAGCTTACTACCTCATCAGAATCAATCACTTTCTAATTAACTAGTCAGATTCCGATGCAGTTTGCCAAAATTTTATTATCCTGCTCTCAGAGTTATAGCATGCAATTATTTATTCAAGTTTCTACTGCTCCCGCTTTGATGGAATTGGGTGAAGGAATCTCTTTCTGGGAGCCTAAGGGAGCTCTGTAATGAGAAACAGTTGCAGGAAGGTGAGTAACCCTTTTGCTTCGCAGGGTTTGCAATATGAGGAGAAAGGAAAAAACCACATGTGCTCCCTCTTTATGTTCCAGCATCCAGGGGGAAGAAATTAATGCAAAAACCAGCTTCCACATGTATTTCTTGGGTTTATGGTTAGATTTTTTTTCCTAATTGGGAGTAAAACAATTATCCTTTTTGGATATTATTTGGTATTACAGTAACATTCACAGTTGAGGGCCAGGCCCTTAGTAAGCACTGCAGAAACAAATATAAGGCAATATTCTTTAGGAGAGTTGGGCATTACAGTACAAAGTGCTATAATACATAGCATTGCGACACTACTGCTGTTGAACATTGAAATTCCTCATGCAACATGTGCACAGGTTGGATGACTTGAGAATGGGATTTACAAAAGATAGCATCTTGAGTGGGGAACCAATTGAGCATATCGTTGAGGAACGCAGAGGTGATGAAGAGAGCCTCAGCCTTCCTACTTAAAGCTAGTAAGGCATCAATGTCTTGACTGCTGGAGTATTCGCAGCAGTAAGCCTTCTCCTGGGCTGAGGTACCTACGGTAGCTCTGTCCTCTTTCTTAAAAAATGGTAGCAAGAAAGCTTCGTCATAACTGAAAGATGGAATGCTTTTCAGAAGAGTGTAAGAGCTTTTCTAAGACCTTCATTTTGTTTGATTTGGTATGCGGATTGAGATTTGATTTGCTTGGATCCCAGATGTTAACTATTGGACTAGAAGATTATATGCACCTTCATTCTTTGCCTCAGTGAGAACATAATCATTTACATGAGGTTTCAACAATGGAGACAGAGCTACATCGCAGACTGCCTAATAGTTTGCTGGAGTTGAAGGCAATGAGCAGCCCAGAGGTTTTGCACATGCTCCCATCACTTTGGTACCATTGGTGTTCTGCTGTATGTCACTGTATGTAACAGGACTGCCAAAGTTACCAACGTGTTCCTTTGTCTATGTCCATACAGCTCTTTTCAGCCAAACCAAGGTTTGAGTTTGTTGTGCCAAATGACTTTAGCTTGTGCCCGTGCTGCTTGTAAGGCTGCCCATCAAACTCCTTTACCTTCATAGGTACAGGCAGAAGTCAACTGTTGCCCACTGGGCTCAAGCAGAGTATGAGCTAACACAGGGGAAGAGGCAGAGCCTGGGACTCACGTTCAACTCCTGGAACAAACTCAACATACCGATCAAGTTGTTACTTCCCTGGTTCTGCTCTGGTTAGGCTGTATTTTGGAGACTATTAATGAGCCTTGTCCCTCCCCAAGTGCCTGAGGGCAGATCATGTGCATGGTGCAGTCCTTTCCATGCTGTCGCAGGGGCCAGAGACCTGGCTTACAGGTACTCCCCATCCTCCTCTGAGACAACGGGCCACACTGCTGCACCTTCGTTAGCTGTGCCGGCAAAGCAGCATGCTGCCGAGTGCTCTTGTGCTGCGCTGCTACAGTGGCACCATTGCTTTTCATTTATATCTGCAGGAAAAGGCCAGGGAAGAAGGTTTTTGGCTTGCTAGTGAGTCTTGTAGACACTCTCTCAACTGCCTCCAGAAAATTATTCTGCCAGAGAGATTCTCAAACTGAAACCACTTCCTTTTTCCTATTCCTGCGTGTGTTCACATCTTGAATTAACTCAGTGTTTTAAATAAAACCATCAGCCAGATAATGAAGCATGCAACAATGTATATGCTAGCAAGAAGTGCAATAGCGAAAAAAGCAAATTTGCAAGTGTGGCGCTATATTATTTTAACACAATAAGTGTTTCTTGTTAAAATTGTCAGGCATGATGAATCTAATTCCTACGCTATTTTATCGGGAAATTAGGAATTTAATGGGCAAAGACTGCTTTCCAGAGTATAAAATAGCTTGAAGTAAAGTGCCAAATGAAAGGCATGTCAGTTAACCCACTACAGTCTTCAACAAAGATCAGAAAAAGAAGACGAAAATAATCAAACTCACCTCAAGCCTGTTAAATGCAGCCTTCAGGATCTGCGTTTCCCTCTCGCTCTCAGGAACGACTCGTATGACTTTATCACTGCCAATAACAGAACATTGAATTGACATTTTAAGGCTCTTTGCAGCAGCACAATGCAACAGTAAATAGGTTCAGATAGCTACCGTACTTGTGCTCTTTTTCAGCATTTGCAAAATGTCGGGTGAACTGGAGCTCCGCTTCTAAACTGGCTCCCTGGATTATGCACTTCCATAGAAATGATTTGCTCTTCACAGATCAGGGTGCCAGCTTGACCCTCCATTTCTATGTGAACGCTTTTGTTCATTCCTTCTAACGTAAACCATTCAGACTGACATCTTCCATACTGAATATGTGCCTCAGATCAAAACAATTGTTTTTTTTTGCCAAAACAATCAATCTGTTTCTGAGGACAAGATTAGGTAAGATACGTTGCTTTTGTATGTTTAAACATTTAATGGGCTTTGAAGAGTCCAGTGCTCTCATGCGTTAAAGAGGGGACTTGACTTTAGAAGAGAGGTGACCTTCATATCAGGAGCATGCCTCTTGCTTTATCCATTAAAGCACAAATTTTGTGAAGTAAATAGCTGTTCATAGATAATAGCAGCCAGACGATAGCAGCTAGATAACAGCAGCTCATTTTATGCACTTTCTTTAGCAGATCTCAATGAACATAACTTTGCAAACGGGAAACAAGAAGCTGAATAGCTGTCCATTCAATGAACACCATCCATGGCATGAACCATGGGAGGCTGGAGACCACAGAAAATATAGGGGGTGATCATGTAACTAAGACATCATTATCATAATCCATACACAAGAGGGCTGAAATAAATTCACGTGGCCAATGCTAATTCCAGCATTTTCCTGCATTTTGAGTTTTTGAATTTGTACTGTTGATAATCAGTACTTCTCCTCTTCCAAGAGACCTTGGAGGTTATGCATATCTTTATTTCTACAGTTCCATCCATTAGTCAGAAAACTCTTTTAAAAAATTTCTTCATCTTCAGTTTCGTCATTATCTGGGAATTTTATGCAGTAGAATTTCCCTTGACATTGAGAGAAGTTTGTCCCTTAAATACATTGTGAACTCTCCTACTTTCCTGAAGCTTCTGAGTCTGCTCAGAAGATATTTGGCCAACTAGAAGCAACACTGGTGAGTGTGCATTTGCCAGCCTCACCATTTTAGGAAGGTTCCCAAGCTGCTGCTGTTCTCAGCAAGCAAGCACCAGGTCTTGCCTTTGGTGTACTGCAGCTACAGCTGTGGTAGGACTCACCTTTGTTGCAAGAATCCTTAATGCATATACAGGTAAGCATTAAATATTGCCAGTAAGTGGTTCAGAAGAATGCACTGGTTGTTGGGTTCAGTACTACTAATACATACTGAATTCTGAAATGGCTTACTCGACCTCTTTCTGGCAGCCATTTTCCCTTCGCCCATTCTTCTTTAGTCTTTTCTCTCCAGTCAACACCTGCTCCCCTTGGGTAGCCTCTGATCCTTCTTTCTGTCTGAGCTTTTCAGTTTTGGTTCTCACCCCTGCTGAGCTTTCCCTGTAGACAGGTCCCAAGCTTTAAAACTCCTAAGTCTTCCAACAGCTTCATGATCTTAAAGTTTTTGGTCCGGTTAGACTCCAGGTTATGGCTGCAATAACACTGATATACCCAGAGATGTGGACCTCAGTCCATTCTACTTGGCTGCTGTTGACCTTACTTCACAAATGGTCTACGCCTAAGAAGGAAGATTTCTCAAAGCACTCATTATAATTTGGCAGCTCTAAAATTTTAGGGGAAATTGCTATGCTTCCAAGCCAAGTTTAACGTCCTGTACAGGAACTTACACAGAAGGGAATAAGCCTCTTAGAGTACTGCAACTGCTGCATCTTTTCAAGGAAAATAGATGCTTTTAATTTATCATACATACAACAGTAATATTCTTTCCCATTACTCATTTATTTCAGAGTATTAAATTGCTGTTAAGAAGGAAATGGGTAAAAAGAAGTAATGATTGCCCAGGACATGTGAAGGTGAAGTAACTAATAAAGATTCATTGGACATTTCTGGAAGGATTGGAACTACGGACATATAAAAACCAGATTTTAATGAAATAAGTAGCTAAGCATGTGTTACGCAGCTGTAATGGAATTTCGAAGGAACGGATATCACTTAGATACAGTCTCAAATTAATACACATCACTCTCAACTGTCTTGGATTAGCTCAGCAACTCTGTCATTTCCAATGTGATGAAAGACCTGCCTTAAAGAGGAAAATATTGGTGCTGTGACAGATTGATCACTTGACACATTGTTGGGAAATGCCTCAAGCTGTGGCTGGGTCTGCTGCTAGAGAGCTCATAGCAAGCAGTTTAGCATACCTGGTACTGTTAGTATTTTATGAAAAGATGGTTAAGCCATTATGACAAGGCAGTTTCGTTTTTTTGTGCATGCAAGATGTAGGAATACACTGAATTCCTGAGAACTATCTGTTAACACCCACTTCTGTAGGCTAGCCAGCCGGTGGATAATCATTATACATTCTTCAAAAAAGCACAGATACCAAATCCGGCTTTACTCCTGATATCTACCAGTCAAAGAACATAGTCCTAAGGTTATTTTTTAGCTTTACAGCTTTCATAGTTACATTTCACACTAAAGAAATGAAACAATTACCTTAAACACTATGCAATACCCATTGAATTTAGGGTAGAAATCCAACAGCCTACTCAGTATTTAAGAGCCAACAACAAAATCTTCCAGATCACAGACTAATGTGGCTGATAAATGGCAGCTGTACCCCAAACACTCAGAACCACCCTCTGGTGAGGTCCCCTGCCATCCCTCATGTCTAGCTGTTGAGGAGAAAGAAGCAAGTGGTCATGTATACATCTAGGGAAAGTTGTGTTGCCTGCAGACATATGTCAGCACTCTGCTGATTTATGCAGGCAAGGTTATTTTTCTAACCATAATGTCTCTAAACTTTTTTTTAAAGTCTATTTTTTTAAATTTCTAAACAAACAGCAAGATGGGATATATTTTGTAGAAATTAATACAAAACTTTACATCCACCAGGACAAACTTTCAATTTACCCTTAGCAACTAGGCTAATGGGATTTAAAGCTAGGACTTAGTGAGATTATTTGAATTTTGTGTACACACACTTGAAAGCCTTTGCAAAGAGCAATACACAAGCTTTCTGAAATGAACTGACCAGATGAGAGTGGTGAGCAAAGAGTAGAAGCCAGACCGCTGGTGTCCCCAGGGACAGCCTTGAGTCTGAGCAAAATGGGTGACCAGCTGTTGGCTAGCACTGACATGCAATGACTTTTTATTCCCTTCATTACCCCCTTACATTTTCAAGTACAGCATCAAAAATGACACAGCTGCTTTTGAAACACAGAATATGCTACATGGGACTGGGAAGGGTGATATTCCCTGCCGCCAATGGGGACTAAAACCTATTGGTTTATTTCTTTGGCTCTTTTAATTTACTTTTTTCCATTTACTTCATAGTTTTACTCGTCTATGAAGAGACCAGATGGATTCAATGAAACCATTTTGCAGCACATATACAACTTCTTTATTGATGGAATTAGTCGCTCTCTCATGAAACTTTCAAGTCACATGGCATGAACTGCATTTATGTAAATTCCTCATTTCCTTCAGGAAAATCCTTCGTATTGTTTTATTTTCCTGACTAATGTGAACCTTAATCAGCTCTCTCCACTCCCATGGAATTCAATAAAAGTATGTTTACAAAGGCTTTACAAGTATTTTAAACACAGTTTGAGGAATGATATGTTATAAATCAAATAACTACAGAAAAAATTGGAACGAAAATAAATCTTCACTTACAAGCATCCATTCCTAATGGTAGAGGAGGGATTATAGTTCTTGAGAACAGGCTGCCATAGCTGCTGCACTTAAGTGGTTCATTAAGGCTTGGGAACTAGTTACACACTGAAAGACACATCTGAAAACAGCTACAGCATGTAAGCCTCTCATCAGCTCCCAATATGCCATCAGATATCATTTGTGATGAAAGATCAATTGCTTCATTCCCTTTTCTCTGCTAAACTCTTCTGCTAGTCAAAATGTTAAGAAATAATCAAATATTAATTTTTTAATCTCTCTTCATTACTGGGATGAGAGTTTCAACCGGGGACTCAATACTGTTACAAAAACTACTTAAATAACGTTGGGCTCCTTCCTGAGACCTGATGGGGACATCTGGAAAGGGAACTTTACAAAACTTCCTGAGCCCTTCTTTATGGTTTTCTGTATTACAGCAGATGCTGATCCAAACAGAAGAGAGCACCATTTGTATTTTCTAGATAGCATTATATATATTGCCTGCCTTTTAGTTATTAAGGCAGGAAAACTGATGTTATTCCTGTATAAAGAAAAGCTAGCAAATCTATAATTTTGTATGAAAAAGATTTGCTTGGGTAATGTAGGCAGAAATGCTGAGGAGGCAAAATATGTTATTGCATGACATTTATCAGCGTAGCACAGACGACTTCTCTGAAAACTGAATTTATATGCAAGTTGCCCGCTAATTCCCAGGCACGGGATATCTGAGTTTCATAGATGTTTTTCAGGTGCAGAAAGGGTTTCCTACTTTACCCGAGCAGGAAACCTTAGGGACTAAACCAATGCTATATTACTAGCATTATTGCTTTAAACAGCTTCATTCCAGAGACAGATGGTCTGGAAAGGTGAATGTCTGCAGTTCCAACTAAGGAACAATGCTTTTCCAAGCAAAGTTGGCCTCCAATGACTCGTGAACGTTGCATATTCAGCCATCTAGCTCAAACACAGAAGTGGGAACCAACTGCTTCAGTGCATGTCTCTGCCTCAGGGAAAAAAAGTGCATGTATGGTAATGGTACCATCTTGCTTCACCAAGTGTCATCCAGTCGTATGCAAATAGAAGAGACAAAGAAGGCAGTTGCTCAGGGCAGAAAATAAAATACGAAGCAACACGACAAATACACACTTAAGAGAAACAAACAAGCCAAAGAAAGAAAGTGGAGGACAAGGAGATACGGTCCTAACTGTGCAGGATTA